GGCGGGGCGCTGCGGCGCCCGAGGCCTTCCGCTTTCTTAGTTGCATTTCGGGTGATGGCAAAAACGTGCTTTTAGCGTTAGAGTTAAAACCGCAGTCTTTTCGGGTCCTTTGCCCATTTTTAAAATGGATTGTTATGTTTTCTCGGTGTAGAGTTTTACGCTTCCTTTATAAATTTTGGATATTAACCCTTTATCGGACGTGTCGCCGACAAGTATGTTCTCAGTCAGTGGGCTGCCTTTTCATTTTGTGGACGGTGTCCTTTGCTGTGCAAAAACCTTTTAGTGTGATACAGTCCCGACTGTTTATGTTTTCATTTGTTTCTCTTGCCCAAGGCGATCAGAAAAAATATTTCTACAAGAAATGCCTGAGGTTTTACTGCCTGTTTTCGTCTAGGGTTTTTATGGTTTCGTGACTTACATTTAGGTCTGTAATCCATTTCTGAGTTTATTCTTGTGTGTGGTGTAAGAAGGTGGCCTAGTTTCATTTTTGCGCATGTATCCTGTGCAGTTTTCCCCGCCATTTATTGAAGAGACTGTCCTTACCCCGTTGTACGCTTTTGCCTTTGTCAGATACTGACTATAAAGGCGTGGGTTCATTTCTCGGTTCTCTGTTCTGCTCCAATGATCCGTATGTCTGTACTTTGCTGTTTTGATTACTATGGCCTTGTGCTATAGTTTGATATCAGGTAGCATGATTCCTCCAACTTTGTTCTTCTTTCTCAAGATCACTGTTGCTATGCGGGGTCTTTTGTGGTATGCACCCCTATGCTCACTGCATCATTATTTACAACAGCCAACATTTGGAAGCAGCCCAAGTGCCCATCGGTAGATGAGGGGATAAAAAAGCTGTGGTAGGTACGTTTACACCATGGAATATAACTTGGCCATAAGAAATCAGGGAATCTTACCTATTGGGACAGCATGGATGGACCTGTTAATATTATGCGAAGTGAAATAAGCCAGTCAGAGAAAGACAAGTGCCATAGGATTTCACTCATATGTGGAATCTAATGAAGAAACAAACTAGCAAAATAGAAAAAGACTCATAGAAAATAGACTGACAGCTGTCAGAGGGGAGGGGGTTTGCCGGGCTGGGTTAAAAAGGCGAAGTGATGAAGCAAAAACAACAAGAATTCATAGGCACACACAATAGCATGGTGATTACCAGAAGGGAATGGGGGTAAAGGGAAGTAGAAGAGATGTCTAGGGGGATAGAAGGTGATGGAAGGAGACTTGACTTGGGGTGGTGAACACAATACAATATACAGTTGATGCGTTATAGAATTGTATACCTGAAACCCATCTAATTTTATTAACCAATATCACCCCAGTAATTCAATTTAAAAAAAATACAGGGTCTTCTTTAAAAAGGCTGTCCTTTTTAAAGTCGGTATTTATTGCATTTCACCCAAGTGGACAAAGGAACTCTTGACCTTTTTTTAAGGAAGCATGTTCTTTCAGGAACTTCAGAGGGAAGAAATGAGCAAAAGAGAACCTCAAGGCTCTAGCTAGAGGCCAAAGCGACTCTCTGCTCCCAGTTGCATTAAACAACGCCTCGTGATGTGTATGTGTGTGGAATGTGCCTTACTATACCCTTTTCCGCTTTTATACACTCTTAGGGGGGAAAGTGATTTTATATTATATAACTTTATATAATTATAACAGGGGTCATATTTCTGGATTTTAATTTTCTACATTAGCACTTATGTTCACTTCCTGTGGCTATCCTAACAAATTACCACATACTAGGTGCCTTAAAACAACAGAAATTTATTGTTTTACAGTTCAGGCCAGAAATCACAATCAAGAGACCACAGCAGGGCTGGTTCCTTCTGGAGACTGGGAGGGAGAGTTGTTCCATGCCCCTGGCCTAGCTTCTGGTGGCTGCCAGCAATCCTTGGTGTCCCTATCATTCCAATCTATGTATGCCTTTGCTGTCTCACGACATTGTGTCCAAATTTCCCTCTTTTCCATTATTTGCCCCCTGCTTGTTGAGATATGCGACACAAAACACTAAGTCTGAGGTGTACAATGTGACTACCCATCACCTGACCATTACTTTCTAAGATCTACTTTCTCAGCAACTTTCAAGTACACAAAACAGTATTAACTAGTCGCCATGCTGTCTTCTGGGGGTCATTAGGCATTAGAATTCATTCATCTTATAACTGGAAGCTTATATACTTTGACCAGCTTCACCACCCCCCACCGCACCCCTGGGAACCACTAACCTGTTTCTATGAGGGTTTTTTAGATTCCACATGTGAGATCATACAGAATTTGTCTTTTTCCGACTTATTTCATTTAGTATAATGCCCTCAAGTTCCGTGTTGTTGCAAAAGGCAGGATTTCCTTTTCATGGCTGAATATTCCATTACACACACATACACACAGCATGTTTGCTGTATCCATTCATCCACCGACAGACAACTTAGTTTTGTCTTTTGTAAATAAAGCTGCAACGAACATGGGGGTTCAGATCTCTCTGCATTTCCTTCAGATAAATACCCAGAAGTCAAATGTCCCTTTCCTTCAAGGACACCAGGCACTGGATTAAGGCCGACCAAATTCAGGATGGCCTCATCCTGCCTAACTTAATTACGTCCGCAAAGACCCTATTTCAAATAAGGTCACATTCGCAGGAGCCAGGAGTTAGAGCTTGAACATATCTTTTTGGGAGACACAAACTCAAAACAGCATCTCTTTCTACTGTTAAAAAAAAAATTTCAAGTTTGGTTCTTATGTATCTTTTGTTTCCAAAGTGTGATGCAGCACAAAAACCCTGCTGCAGAAACTGAGCCTATTCAAGTTTAACCTGAATAAGTGAACTGTACTACATATTTCTAGATGTTTGAAGTTTAAAAAAGCTGTATACAATGCCAGTGTACTCTAAATTCTCAGAATTTACACTTTATAACAGCTCAGTATCCAAAAACCTGAGGCGTCGTGGACCACTTTTCTAAGGGTTGAGGTGGCCAAGGTGGCCAGAACCAAATGAGACCTTAATTCTAAAGAGACTGAGTCCAACCCATAAGTCACTCTAAATAGCATCAACACTAAACTGTAAACAAGCCTAGTGAAGTGCAAAATCCTAGTCTCTCCCAGAACTATGTTATTTCAAGTTCTCTCTTTCTGGAACACCGTTTTTGTGTGCTCACACTTTGCTAGTGCTGAGACATGCTCAACGTGCCTCTTGGGTGGTCCAGACTTCTACCTTCAGCCTCGCCACCTCCCAGGATAAGTAAGACTATATAGGAGGTTCCAGAAGGAAAGAACTAGCCACATGCCACCCTTCTCTTCCCTCTCACGCCCTCCAGTAGATTCAATGGCAGTGTCCCTGCCTGCAGGCTTCACTGTGTTCCAGGCCAACAGTGGCTGAACAGCTAGTTTGGGAACAGGGAAGCCAGGACCAGCAAGCAACAGAGGGGCACACTGATCCAAGGATACCAAGAGGCGTGAATTTTGCTTATAACTTCTCATTTTAATTTAACACGGCTCAAAGGGCTGTTTAGATAATCGCATTATCTAAATAATTCCACATTGCACTTGAAATTAGAACCTGGGACAACAGGCAGCAATAGGCCTCCACGGATAAAGGAAGCACCAGCCCGGGCCCTTGTCTTCCTCTCCCTTATCTCCCCTTCTCCTAAACACGCTGGTGCAGCGAGAACAAGGGCTTTTAAATCTGATGGTCCCAAACCAACTAACTTTACAATGTGAGTGCAAGTGATCTGAGTGCGCTTTATGAATCAGAAACTATGCTATACAGAACCACCCAAGATGAAGGTACACTTTTTTCCAGATTTTTAATTCTTTTAACATCTTAACAAAGAATATTCCCCAAAGTTTAAAAAAGTTGAAAAAATACAGTTTCATATTATTTACATAACATATGGGTACAGGTTCCAGTATCATTTAAACATTGCTACGTTAGAAATGCAGGGGGAAGGCATGGTATAATTCACCGCCTCCGGGATAGTGCAGGCTCATGGATATGTTTTCATATTCCAGCGACCTCTGTTCCTTGTTATCCTGATAAATAAACTATTAGGCACCTGAGAGGTTGGAAGACTACTGAACATAAACTTTAATATTCTCTATTTTGATCTTTATAATCTCTTTACAAGTTTATTTCATCTACAGCTAAGCTACCTTTATTGTCATTATCCTAATTGATCAAATATTAACCACATGAACTGTTAATATGTACACCAATCAAATTAAACATAAAATGTGTAGCCAAGTTGTATAGGCTACATATATTTAAACCCAGGAAATTCCCTAGTGCTCTGTGAGCAATCTAAATTCCATTTAAGAGAAATGACAATTCTCTAGTTTCCATGCTCTGGTCTATTTTTTCTTAAAAATATTAAAAAATGACTGACAATAATTGGAATTGGTTCCTTGTAAGTTAATCAAGAAACCTAAGATTAAAAAATTCTAAATGATAGTTTTATTTGTATTTAAAAATACATTGGAAATTCTGCATATGCCCATGATCAAGCTTATTTTCAATGCACATTAAATATCGATGACATGGTTTGTTCTGACAAGTCCTTTTTCAAGCTGAACACCAAAATAGGGAGGCTCCTGTACATTTCCACTGGCCCTGCCACCAATGATACATACTGCTTCCTTGCTAACGATGATGGATGACCTTCATCTGCCTTTTATCACCTGAACAGTTTTCCGACCATAATGATAATAACTGTAAGCTGATGCAGCTGTGGTGAAAGCTGTAAAACACCTTCAATAGAAAGAAAGAAAATGTAGTTGTCACGTCTAAAACTCAGTTAACTGTGAGAATCATAAAAAACACATTTTAAAAAGTTATTTAAAAAGTAAAAATGGCTGTGTGGTGTAAAATTTCTTTTAACTACAAGAATTTAAATACATTGCTTTTCTTTACGACTTCCCTGGAATCAGTAATGTCAAACAACCTAGTTCATGAGCCCAAGAAAATGATGATAATCCTGGCAACTGTCACTTCTCCCGGGTGTCAGTGTCTTACACTCACTTTCACAGCCACCTCACCTTCCAGAGGAAGAGCGAGCCCCAGAGGAGTTGCTCAGGCCACAGAAACACACTAGACCCTGCCTTGGCATCAACTCTGCAGCCATGTGCCCTTCTATTGCTCCACACTGCTGAGAGTATTAGGTTCTACTTCCTGAATATCTGAGTCATTTAAAATAAACTTCAGCTTTCTTTTCTGATTTTTCCCTTAAGTCAAGTGCCAGACTGACCAGGCTCCCTCTCTGAAGTCAGATCAGGGTGCTCATGGCTTGCTGAAAGCTCCCAACCAACAGGCTACTTTTTAGTGTGCCAAGCACTTCTCCTGCCACCAGGTGAGGTGTAGAATGGACCATCAAGACTCTATTTTTATTTGATCCCAAAGCTGTTCGTGCCAGTTTAATATTCTAAATTCACACATTAAGCACAATAACTCCTTTCTCCAAGTTTCCCTCCCACGCTGGCCTTTTCACTAGGCTGGACACACTTTCCCTTACCCACTCTCCTGCACCCCTGACGTTGCTCAGGGTCTGTCCTTCACCTAAATGGCCTCCCCACTCTCTCTCCCTGTATAAAACCCACCTAGACCTCATGGTTCAAATGCTATTTCATCCCTGAAGCTGTCCCTCTTCTTTCTACCTGGAAATATCTTTCCTTCCTCTGAAACCCCAACATATTATCTGTACCTCTCATCCCTTTTAACTTCCATGAAAGCTCCTAAAATATAACTTCTACATCCCTTATTTGACAGTAAGCTTCTTAAATGAATGGTATCAATTGTAAAATACAGCCCAGAGCTTTACCCAGTTGGTGCTCAATAAACACTATAAGAACAAGCTGTAGGACTGCCACATTAAGCCATTTTGTTGACATCCTCAGAGAGTAATTATAAATTTAGCTTACCACAGTATCTGAAGGTAAATGCTGTCAGCATAATTGAAAACCGGAGCTGCCAAAGAAGCTGCCACCAAGATTAACTGGACTGCTGTGTTTACCTAAAAAAATTAAAGTCATAAATGAACAGTGACCACCAGATCCTGTTTCAAGTTCAAAAACCAGTGTAACACGACATACCCTCAGCATGCTTAATGTTCTAATATTCCTGCCAAAGCAGCTGGCACTCACACAAAAGGGTGAGCTGCACTGCCTGGCCCAGCTGTCTGCACAGCTGCTCTTTACAGAGAAGAGAAGGGCCACCGTCAGAAAAAACCACTATCTTGAATTTCCATAGCAATTCAGTATGTTGCGAAGTTCTTTGCTTTTTTTCCCCAAGCCCTGTGAATATGGAAATAATTTCACAGATGAAAAGGTAATGAAATTAGTTAAGTGACTTGCCTATAGTCAAAGGAAAGTTACAGATCCGAACCTAGAACCCAGATTTCCCGGCACTTCGTTCAATGTTATCACCTGCCTAGCTGGCAAACGCATGGCGTTAGAACACTGAGAATGCATCCACCTCTCTGAGAAAGGCTCTCTGGAGGAAATGAGGTTTCCCTAGCCTACAGGACAGCACGGAAGCCAAAGGAGGAAAACAGAACCCGAAAAACACTGGCGACCCCTACCCATCATGAGAAGCACTCTGGGGAAGATGGCTGAGGTATGAATCAGTGGGTGATGTGCCTACAAAAGCACCTATGTTCTATCATCCATTCTGCAGCCAAGTTACAAGAATTCCACTGTCTTTTAAAAATAAATAATAGCCTGGCTGGCATGGCCCAGTGGTTGAGCATCAACCTATGATCCAGGAGATCAAGGTTCGATTCCCGGTCAGGACACATGTGGGGTTGTGGGCTCCATCCCCAGCAGGGGTGAGCAGGAACCTTCATAACCTCTTTGATCAATGACTCTCTCAACATTGATGTTTCTATCTCTCTTTCCCTTCTACTCTCTGAAATCAATAAAAAAATACTGAAATAAAGTAAAATAAATAAACAATAAAAATTATCTGGTGAACTTCTTGCAAGACCAGGGATTTGAGGTATTTGTCCCTCCACTTCTTTAAGCCACTTTCCATCTGCATCAAATTGCTGTATGTGATACAAATATAAGTGACCTGAATAAAAAAAAAAAAAAAAAAAAAAA